GGGTCAATCTTCCAGGGTTTGAATACAGTTTAATTGAATTCAGAAGGTGCTCTCATTGGCACCGGTACTCCTGCTCCTCACAAGCTCTGGTCAGCCTCCCACTGTGTGGATGGGGTGGACACATGATGTAAGATACATCGACTCCAGATACACAATGTACATATCTGGAATTGTGTATCTTACTTTAACCTTCCACTGTAGTGTAGACCAGGTCTCAGTTACTTTTTCTAAAGAGGGAAAGGAGGGTGGTATAGAGATCCAGTAAAATGGTTAGAACACAGGAGCCTGGCATAACTGGAGTGGGAGCCAGAGTCAAGTGTGAAAGCCTGAGTCAGTGTCAGGGTTAGGGCATAAGAGCAGGAACCTAGAGTGAGGCAGGGAAGCAGAAACTGGAACAGAGGGAGGCTCTGCGACAAGAAGGACAGGAACCAGGAACAAGTGGAAGGTTGAGCTCAGGAGTCAGGCACGTAGGCAGAGTCCCGTAGTAACGGCCAGCTAGGGATTCACCTAGTTACATGAACACATTTCCTGTGCCTTGTTCTGGTTTAAGTACTTCATCCCAGATAGTTTGTGGGGCTGGACATCTCTCTCAATCAGGTGTTTAATGGGTAGGGTATTTTGTGAGCTAAAGCTTTTCTCACTGCCTTCTCCACTAGCTCAGATGAGTTGCACCGTGGCACCCATAGTCTAAGCATGACCTGGAAATCTGGGTTCAAAGCCTATGATCCTTCACAGGTGGGCAATGGAATACCAATAGGGGCCACACATCTCAAAGAACCTCCAGTTACTATAAAGTAAGTAACTTTTTTTCTAATGCCAATCCTTAGTAGTACTCCACTCACATTTATTTGCTGAAACAAATGACATTGACAACATGCCACTGAGGATACTGAGTTTCAGTAACAAAGGAAATTAATTTAATGGATGGCTGGACAACGAGCAATCAAATAAGAGGAGGATGTGAAGATGCAGAACAATTTGATGCTTTCCTAAAGGTTGCATCAGTGGAGGAGTCCTGTTCTAGAACATTTCACAAATACGTATGGAACTCCACATAGTTCATTTGCATATGTCAAGGAGGGTACTTCCTAAAGCTCTGCACCTGATGTTGCTTGTGCTCTTGCAGATTGAGCTCTTACCCCATAAGAGGGAGGAAGATGTGACAGCTATTAGCAGAGTAGGATGCAGCCTAAAGTGCATATAGATTGACCTCAGAGTCATCGTGCTACAGTGAAAATCAGGACAGGTGATTTTTTTTATTGTTTCTGTCCTGGTAGGTACAGTATCAAAATTTGTTGCTTTGCCAAGGCAATGAAGTTGCCTCTTCTCCTCAGATGCATATGGTTTCAGAAAAAATACAGGTAAGCAGACCTGATTTAAGTAGAACTCTCAAAATACCTTAGAAATGAACTGTGGATATATTCATAATGAGATATCGTCCTTATGGAATATAGTTCACAGTAGACCTGCCTCTGGGGCTCCAATCTCATTTATCTTTCTGGATGAAGTGTGATCACAAGGGATGCAACCATTATTAGGTGATATGAATTTGTGATTGTGGTTCTAAGGGAGGTTTCATGAGTGCCAAAGTACAAGGTTAAATACCGGTAAGGAGCAGGCTTCTTTATTAGTGGGAAGGTTCTGATTAGGCCTTTCAAGAATCAATGAACCTGTCAATGAACAGGTGAAATTGAGTAACCATCTAATAATGGATGGTACCCACAACCAGATGGGATAGCCCAATCATTCTGAGAGAAAGATGATAATTCAAAATAAGGGGAATATTTACTAACTCAGGAGATACATGTTTTAACTCTGCACAGATGGAAAATGCACTTCCACTTGGCTGAATAACATTTTTAATGGAATCTTTTCTGCTGTTATTAAGGATTGTTTTATGGCTTCAAAGCAGGTACATTCTAAAGTCAATGCCCATTCAAAAACCAAGCCATGAGATTACATGTACTGAGGTTGGGAAGCTTGATCCCAGTCTTTTCTTAGATCAAGACACTGAAAAAGGACTGGATGCTAATTGAAGGATGTGATAATATTAAAAGCAGGTACAAGACCCAAAAGTGTCTAGTCCAACTGAGGGCAATGAAGATAACTCGTGCCTATTCTATCCATAGGACTCAAGGCAGGAACAGCGAGGAAGGAAAGGCAAACCTCAGATGTCCTTCCCAGGGAGGACATGTTCCTTATTCCTGTGTCCTAGAAGTCAAGAGGTTGTGTGTGCACATGCCTAAGACTGCAAGGCCACCTATTAAGAAAAAATAGTTTATTCAAGCTTTTTTCAGACTGAGGATTAAAGAGTTTGAGGGTACCCAAATGTGTCTTTCTTGGTTCTCAAAGGGGTTTTTGCATTTGGGTGGTGGAAGCAATACAAATACAAAATCAAGGAATCTGTGACTTGGGGAGTTTTTAAACAGAAACCTTTTGTGACAGGGTATTTCAAAATCTCGTGGCATGTCTAATGGGGTGGGTGGCATTTGAATTTCTCCTGAGTGGCCACATAAGCACACACAGCCTTATAGGGAACACTGCACCTGAGTCTATTAGGGTATGTCTATACTATAGAATCAGGTCGAAGTAAGATACGCAACTTCAGCTACGTTAATTGTGTAGCTGAAGCACCTTAGCATGACTTTTGGCGTTGTCCACAGTGCAGGAAGCTATCTGTCCAACTTCCTTGTAGCACCCTTTTAAGGGAGAACACTCTCCCTTGTATTTCCCTTACTCCTCATGGAAGCAGGACTACTGGGATAGACCAAAGTGCCCCTCCCTCTCAGTTTGAATTAGCTGTCTTAACTAGACCTACTAATTCAAACCCTGGATAATTGACAGCAGCAACTTCCATCTTCTCTGTAGTGTAGACATACGCAGAGTGATCAACTTCTGACCTTAGCAAGAATGATATGAGGGGCAAATAGTTCACATTTATTTGCTGAAACAAAGGACATTGACAACATACCACTGAGGATACTGAGTTGCAGTAACAAAGGAAATTAATTTAATGGAGAAAATTACAAGGCTAAATAAAGAAATTAGGGTGTGGATGGGCTGATGGCACTAATATTTACCACTCAAAAGCAGATAACTCATTTTGGGATATAGTCTGCAATTGCTTATTGGTTTAATGGTTAGCCGCTAACATCCCTACCGTGTATATATGGACTGTTTTAGGATTCATTTTATCAACTAATGTTTAAACTACATCACCACACTCTTCCTTTATCCCAGTGAAGGCAAAAAGCTTAAAGCAAATTTGGGAGCTCAATTTTTAAAAAATACTCTACATGCAAAAGGTCTGATTTTTTTACCTTGTCAAACATTTAAGTTGTACAATATATAATTTTTCAAAGTAATGGTTAGCCGCTAACATCCCTACCGTGTATATATGGACTGTTTTAGGATTCATTTTATCAACTAATGTTTAAACTACATCACCACACTCTTCCTTTATCCCAGTGAAGGCAAAAAGCTTCAAGCAAATTTGGGAGCTCAATTTTTAAAAAATACTCTACATGCAAAAGGTCTGATTTTTTTACCTTGTCAAACATTTAAGTTGTACAATATATAATTTTTCAAAGAAATTTCACTCGTCTCAAACTTAAATAATGCACTATATACAAGTAGTTGACAACCCATGCTTTTGTACATATGGACTCTTGGGCCGTCTGCACAGTGTCCCTCATAGAATACTAAAACTGGAAGGGACCTTGGGAGGGTTATCAAGTCTAGTCCTCTGCTTTCACAGTAGGACTACTCACTATCTAGATCAAGGGTGGTGGCCAATAATTTTTAGAAGGGGGCCACTTCATAAGTTTTTAAGTGGTTCTGGGCTGTCCTGGAAAAGGTGAGGCCTCTTGTGGAAGGGGCAGGGACAGGAGACTTCGTGTGTCCCCCTCCCTGCTCCCAATGGTCCTAGGGAGGGGGGAATGTGTGAAGTTACCCCCACCTTCTCCACCCAAAATCACCAGCTGTTTTAAAATATCTGGTGGTTCCCTCTAGGTGCTGCATGGGAGGAGATCTTGCACACTCCCTGTCGTCAAGCCAATGAGGGCCTGAAAGTGTGAGGAGCACGCAAAGTGTCTTGCTTCCTGCCTGAGGCGCACAGCAACGAGAGCCACTGGCTGTTTTAAAACAGCCGGAGTTTCCCTCTGATGCAGCACACCCTTCACAAATCCATGCCCAATCAGGGTTTGGAGGCAGGGGAGTGTACAAGGTCTCTCGTCCTCTGCCCCCACCCTGCTAGGACAGCATGACAGCTATAGAGAAATGCCTGCTGTTTTAAAATAGCCGATGTTTCTCTCTAGCTGCCTTGCACCCTTCGCAGGGAGGGAGCAGGAAGACTTTGTATGCTCCACAATCCCCAAGTCTCCATTTGCCTGGGGGTGGGGGAATGGCAGGGTGGCCATAGGCTGGACCCACCAGATTGGCGGGCTGAATCTGGCCCATGGAAGCCCCTTTGTCCACCTCTGACCTAGATCATCCCGGACAGCTATCTGTCCAACCTCCTTCTAAATATCTCCAATGAGAGATTCCACAACCACCCTAGCCAATTTATTCCTGAGCTTGACTACCCAGACAGTTAGGAAGCTTTTGGATTCACTTCTCCAAAAAGGAAGTCTATAAAACTTACTTTACAAGTCTAAAGAAGTTAGGTGTCCAATCCCTACTGACATTCAATGGGAACTGGGTGTTTAAAACCTTTAGATTCTTTTAAATCCTCACTGTAAAATTCAGTTTTAAGATTGATACAAATCTAAGTATTGTCAATGTCTAAACCAGACATCTTCTCACAGGCTTTATTTAAAACTGTAAAAAGTATTTGCTATCTAGTTGTTCTGGAGATACTTTTAATGTTCACTAAGTATCAAACTGGCTATGCTTCATCAGCCAAAATATAGGTATTTATAACAATTACGATTTACAAAGTAAAAAGCTATATTAATACTATGTATGGCATTTTAAAAAATGAAAATACGCACATCAAACAGTAATGACAACACTGGTAGAAAAGTTTTATTCTCCATCTTCTAAAAAGGAGTTACATATAGAAAGTAAAAACAAAATATAAATAGTGCTTCATTTCATTTAAATAAAACTGTATTCAAAATAAATTCAGAGAGGAGTCATTATGAAACATTCAGTCTCCATGCAATCGTATCAGAACACAGCTGAGCCTCAGCAATTTTCAAAGTAATTTGTCTATAAAGGGCACCGCTCACTGTTCGGTTCATATTCAATGCACTTTGCTTCTGTTCATTTTGAAACTTCTCTCTCAATTGCTGCACTGCTTCTTTTTTGCCAGACAAAGATGACACTGTAACCCCGCTCCTTTTCTCGCCAGCCTCATAGCTCTGTGTTAAGTTGTTTTCAAGTTCACTTACTGTAGAGGAGAAACAACTCCTAAAGCTGACCATTTCCTTTTCCAGAGCTACTGCAAACTGGTCAATAAGGATGTCCTTGCTTTCTAACCTTAGGAGTTTTATTTTGCAGGTTGGTGGGAGAACTCCAGTGAGGCTATGAAGGCACTGCAACAAGATAGTTCGATTTCTGTAAAAATCAAACAAACAGTCATCAATACAAGGATACAATCCTTTCAAAATTCATTAGTGGAACTATACAATGAAGCTACTCTGAACTGACCAGTGAAATTACATCTTACTGTGTAAACCTTTTAAGTTATATTTGCTGCAGGTGGAATGGCAAGCAAAATTTTCAATTTGGAGCTCATGCCAAATACTTTATAGCTAAAACATTAATGCTAAGCACACTTGCACAACATCAGCAAATACTCTGTGCTGAAATGTACTCTCACAGTTAAGAGTGCAGTGCATCATTTGTTTCTAGACATATTAGACTGTAATTAAGGGGGCTGCCTATAATGTGAAGGAGATTAATGCGTTGAATTAGTGTGTTTCCTTACATGCTGAGCCAGAAGGAAGTTATTTGTGACAAGGCAATGTGTTGTATGCACATTAAAGTGCAGTAAAGAGGCATCCCATAACTTGGCATTTCCTTGTTTTTAAAGGGATTACAGAAGGAATGGGGATCTTGCACTTAACCAGCTTTGATTCATTTTAAAAAGCGTGTGTTTTAGTTTATGATTTCCTGGATTTTTCAAACACAAGAATAAAAGGGCACAAGAGTGGGATGCTGCTCCAACAACTTCCATTATGACATGTGGATGTGGAATTATGAGTCAGGAAGGACAGAATGGGCATGTCAACTGCTGTATCTGCTAAGCTTGGCTATCCCGGATCCTCAGAAGAGAGGAGTCTTTGAAGCCACAAAGCTTAGATAAAGGCTTGAAAGTGCCCAGCACTCTGGATGCAATCCCGATTGAACCTATGCTACAAAACTGATCTTAAAGTTTCAGCAAAATAGCAAGGAGTCCTGTGGCACCTTAAAAACTATCAAATGCATCTGACGAGGTGGGCTCCAGACCACAAAAGCTTATGCCCAAATAAATCTGTTAATCTTTAAGGTGCCATAGGACTCCTTGCAGTTATTTTCAGTTTCCTGTACAGTTTTTTTAATAATAGAATATAGGGCCTGCCATTTTTCTTCAAGGCATTCTGATTTTAGTCCATTTGAAGACAAGGGAAAAATGGGAAAACCCTTATTTCCACATGACAGGCCTGTGGCTTCAGTCTCATAAGTTATAAAAAATGACTACTATTATGAATAAGATTTAATTATAAAGACAAACATAGATGAAATTTTGTTAATACTTTCATTTGAGAGAGAACTTAAATTCCTTAAATGTACATTTGGCACTCATTTTCAATTAATTAATTACATGGGAAGTTTGAAGGATAACTAACCAGTGGTTTGTTAGCAAAATGGATAAAAACAGTGAGATAGTTTCTTGGACCGATATTTAATTATTTTTAACTAGCAGATTTATTCAGAAACCCTTAGATGATTCAATCTTTACTCAAATTATGGCCTTTAAATGTGGTGATGATACACTATATTCTTAATATGAAACAAAGAGGCTAATCCCTATTTTGAGTGAAACAGAGCCCACTATAGTTATAATGGCACATTATACCTTTTCTTTAGTCTTTGTCTTTTAGACTGAATTCTTCAGGGCAGGAAATGTACCAGGTTTCATGTTTGAAAACTATTTAGCATACTGTGCAGGATACCATGTCAAATAATACTGATATTACTAACTCAGTACTTAGCCTGACAGAATAAGTTCTGTGGCATACCTATTTCTGAAACAGATATAATCTAAACATAACTGATCCACATTGAAGAAAAATATAAAGGGGCAACCTGTGACTATTCAAAGACTTATGCTATCATTTATTAGATTTTTAAGACAGGAATTAATCAACACAGAAAACAAAATATGGAATTCAAAGTCACTTTGAAGTGTTACTACTAAGTAAAAAATGGTCAATATTCAGTTCCCTATTTGTAGATTTCTTATTCTTAAGTCAAAGTGTTAAAGATAAGGGTAAATTTATTTTTACTTAAATAAAGGTTATAATATTACCTTCTAGTGGAATTCAGGACTTTCCTGAATTGACAAAAATCTTGAAATTAAAAATGAACTGCCATAAGCTAAAAAAAGTGGAGAACTCATGAGAGCTGCAGCTATTTGCACTCTCCAAACTGCCTTATGAACTTTATCGATAAGAAATCCTACAGGGAAGCCTGCAAATTGCTAAGCTTTATCCATTTACTGAAGAACTGTGTTTAGTAGTGAGAAGATTCCACTTTCTAGTGCCAAGTGAATATAGCCAGACAACTGATTCAGAGCTATGCATTATTTTCCAAGGGTAGTAAACAAAGTTTACTTTAAGTTGCTGAACATACATAATTGAAAGTTTATGGAACTGTATATGGTGACATATTACATGTCATTAGTCCTGTATATACTTTGATTTATGCTCTGCACAGACATAAAATGATTGCAAAAAGCAATCCAGTCAGATCTACTAATAGGCATAAGATGGCAATTTAAGATAGTTCTAAATGGCTGTCACTTGTATGCTTTTTTCACTGTGGCAAAATAATTATAATGAAAAAGTGATATTCTGCCACAAACTCAAGTTATAGAGACTAAATATTCCCTAAGCTCTACTTCTATTACCTGCAAAACAATGTTAAAATTCCTTCAAATGGAGTTTTCAGATTCCAGCTAAAGATAGTGCCATGCAAACTTCCCAATTTATGACAAAACATATATTCAGGGCATTCTTTGATTGGTACACACTCCATTTGTGTCAACAGCCACATGTTCACTGGAGTCAGGGTACAGTCAGATGAGACTATCAGGAAGGAGAATTTAAGAGATACTGCAAGAATAGCATATAAATCTTCAATGGTGTCTGTAAGAGAAAAACATGAAAGGATATTAAATCTAACATTTTACTAATTAACAAATACGGATAAAAAATGTATTTTTCTTTAGGGATGTGGAAATGTAAATGTGTACACAGTTAACTGATGAGCCCCTTTACAGTTACACACAGCTCCCCCTCCCGCCCCTGCTGCCTCTGTATCATGAGGGGGGCACGCGTGGGGAGCCAGCTTAAAAGCCACTTCCCCTCATGTGTAAACATTGACATTTTCAATGATTATACGTATACCTAAATACATACATTTTAATATTGCTATTTTTCTTTTCTATTTCATGCTTAATTTCATTACCTCGTTTTTACTGTTATTTTAAAGAAGGTGGAACTGGGACGTTTCAAAGTTTCTGGGACCACAAATCGTACCTAATTTACTTACTGAGCCCCTTTACAGTTACACACAGCTCCCCCTCCCGCCCCCGCTGCCTCTGTATCATGAGGGGGGTATCATGAGTATGTCCTTCTTGCTTGAACTTACATCACAACTGTCATCCTTGGATCCTGCCTTGCCTCACAACTCTACCAACCATCCAGCCCTTCCCATCACCTTCTTATTGCTGTTCTTAGTGAGCTAATATTCTTCTGCAGCTCTTAATACATTTAAAAAGCAGAGGTGTAGAGTCTGGGACGGGGTGCGAGTCAGGACAGCTGATTCTCAGTTCGCACCTGGTCCCCCCCGCTACGCTTCTACTTCCCCAGGCCCTCTGCAGATATGGTGCTAGGGGGAACTTGCTATTAAGCCAGCTCTCCCCAGCACCGGCTCCTGCTCCCCCCACAACTGCCTCTCTCTCAAGAGAGGAAGCGACTAGTTGAGTCACTATTCGACTACCGATAAGCATATGCTTATTGGGTAATCAACTAGTCGCTTACATCCCTAGAATGCAAGGCCTGAAGCCCCTACTCCTAATTCCTATTGCCACTGCTTGTTGCTTGCTATGCCCCTTCTGGCACTGCCAAAGAGTAAGAGGAAAGCTCACAGAATGGGTCACTCACTTCTCTGCCCCCTTCTCGCATCAACTAAGGGGGAGAGGAATGCAGGGACACTGTGTGCTCTCCTCTCACTCTCTGCAAGTGATGGGAGGGAAACAGCAAACAAAGGCTCTGACAAAGTTGCTTTTACTCATGAAAGCTTACGCACAAATAAATCTGTTAGTCTTTAAGGTGCCACAGGATTCCTCGTTTTTGCAGATACAAACTAACACAGCTGCCCTGCTGAGACTATATTTAAACACTAATCTTAGTACAGAACCTGGGAACAACTCACATAACATTTTCCCACACAGAACTGACCATTTTTCCTCATGTTTTCTGTCTCAGTTTCCAATTCATGACAGACCATTAGCTTGTAATAAAAAACATATTATGATAAAATGATTACAACATGACAAAATTAAATTCTGGATTAAAAACAAAGAGGAGGAAATTGAATTAACCAGATCTTCAGATTAATGTGAACAAGTCAATGCATTAAATATTTACCTGTACAATGACTATTATTCCTTAGCAAATTTACTGAATATTTTCCATTTGAAATATCTTCCAGGCATAATGAAATTTTCCCACACAGCATAGTCAGTTTTTTGCTTTCCTGTAGGTTGCCATCTTGATATTTTCTCCTCTTAGCATGCAGTAGTATTATACAACGTATATCACGGAATGCCAGCAGCAGTGAAAGTCGGGTAACAGCAACAAAGGTCTTTGCCCCATCTGACAGAATTTTAGAAGACCTTCTATGGTACTCTTTTTTCAGATCATTGTTGCTGTGTAAGTCCAGTTTTATCTTTTTTGGTTGTGGCTCCAGTTGGAACGAGGAGATAGACATTGCTGAGAAAGTTTTATTTAATTTAACTAATTTACTCTGACACTCAATAACTGGAGAAACTGAAGAGAAGTCATGACCCATTACCAGGGATAAGCTAACATCATTCAATGACCTGTAAAACCCATATAAAATTACTGGATTTCAAGTTCACATTTTACACTCAGGCAAATAGAATCAAAACTCTGCAAAAATGTGTACTGACATTTAGTGCTTTAAAATCTTGGCAATTCAAGATTTTATGTTGTCCTCCATTACCAAATAAACAGATGAATGGATCAAAAATCTTTAACATACTTTCAGACTAATTCACGGTATAGTGCAAAGATGTCTGGTAAGCATTTTGAAAATGAATGGATCAAAAAATCTTTATCATACTTTCAGACTAATTCACCGGATAGTGCAAAGATGTCTGGTAAGCATTTTGAAGATATATTTTAGCACATACTTTACAAAACACAATATGCACGGTGTTAGATTCCAAAAACACAGGCTGGGGTTTTCAGAGGAGCCTATAGGAGCTAGGTATCCAATTCCCATTAAAAATTAATAGGGTCTGTGTGCTTAACACAGATATGACTGGGATTTTCAGTGACAAGTTTCTGAATATAAACTATTAACGTTTAAATTTAAATTCTATTTTTATAGAGGATATATACTTATAATACAGTACAAGGATACCTAAAATAATTCAACTACTTGATTAGCTCATTGATATCTACTTAACATCCCTAATTTAAATCATGTGGGACTGCCAATTTTTTATTTGACTTAACACCAAACTAACAATTTATTTCAGAAAATGAATTAAAGTATATGATGGATGTCACACGGCCTGATGTTACAAATGTTATGGTGAATAGAACGTCTGATATTTTCTTCTGATTTTTTTCTCTTAAAAATGACATGAACTCTTGCTAAGAATGGAAATAAAAATAAAACATTTTCATATTTATTGAAGGAACTATGCTAAGGCAGGGGTAAAGGTAAAGTGAAAAATAAACCTAAGGGTGAAACTTATAGCACTGATGTAACCTTATTGCACATACTGTATTATGTTAAGTTTTCTTGATTCTTATGTAGTGTATGTAACCCTCAAGGAGATTACTTGGATTCCCGGGGCCTTGTCTGCTGGCAGCTCAGGGAGAGGCACTCTGAGTTTGCCTTGGCTTCCCCTCCCTACCAGGGCCAGAGTCTGCCCAGCAACCCTTGGGTAGTGAGATGCCCTTCCCAGGGGGAAGGAGAGACCATTGTTGAGGGGAGTCTGGAGCCAGCCAGGGAAGGGGAAGCTGGCTGTGTGGGAGCTAGTGAACCCCAGGCCTGCATAAATGTATTTTTCTTTAGGGATGTGGAAATGTAAATGTGTACACAGTTAACTGATGAGCCCCTTTACAGTTACACACAGCTCCCCCTCCCGCCCCCGCTGCCTCTGTATCATGAGGAGGGTATCATGAGTATGTCCTTCTTGCTTGAACTTACATCACAACTGTCATCCTTGGATCCTGCCTTGCCTCACAACTCTACCAACCATCCAGCCCTTCCCATCACCTTCTTATTGCTGTTCTTAGTGAGCTAATATTCTTCTGCAGCTCTTAATACATTTAAAAAGCAGAGGTGTAGAGTCTGGGACGGGGCGCGAGTCAGGACAGCTGATTCTCAGTTCGCACCTGGTCCCCCCCGCTACGCTTCTACTTCCCCAGGCCCTCTGCAGATATGGTGCTAGGGGGAACTTGCTATTAAGCCAGCTCTCCCCAGCACCGGCTCCTGCTCCCCCCACAACTGCCTCTCTCTCAAGAGAGGAAGCGACTAGCTGAGTCACTATTCGACTACCGATAAGCATATGCTTATTGGGTAATCAACTAGTCGCTTACATCCCTAGAATGCAAGGCCTGAAGCCCCCACTCCTAATTCCTATTGCCACTGCTTGTTGCTTGCTATGCCCCTTCTGGCACTGCCAAAGAGTAAGAGGAAAGCTCACAGAATGGGTCACTCACTTCTCTGCCCCCTTCTCGCATCAACTAAGGGGGAGAGGAATGCAGGGACACTGTGTGCTCTCCTCTCACTCTCTGCAAGTGATGGGAGGGAAACAGCAAACAAAGGCTCTGACAAAGTTGCTTTTACTCATGAAAACTTATGCACAAATAAATCTGTTAGTCTTTAAGGTGCCACAGGATTCCTCGTTTTTGCAGATACAAACTAACACAGCTGCCCTGCTGAGACTATATTTAAACACTAATCTTAGTACAGAACCTGGGAACAACTCACATAACATTTTCCCACACAGAACTGACCATTTTTCCTCATGTTTTCTGTCTCAGTTTCCAATTCATGACAGACCATTAGCTTGTAATAAAAAACATTATGATAAAATGATTACAACATGACAAAATTAAATTATGGATTAAAAACAAAGAGGAGGAAATTGAATTAACCAGATCTTCAGATTAATGTGAACAAGTCAATGCATTAAATATTTACCTGTACAATGACTATTATTCCTTAGCAAATTTACTGAATATTTTCCATTTGAAATATCTTCCAGGCATAATGAAATTTTCCCACACAGCATAGTCAGTTTTTTGCTTTCCTGTAGGTTGCCATCTTGATATTTTCTCCTCTTAGCATGCAGTAGTATTATACAACGTATATCACGGAATGCCAGCAGCAGTGAAAGTCGGGTAACAGCAACAAAGGTCTTTGCCCCATCTGACAGAATTTTAGAAGACCTTCTATGGTACTCTTTTTTCAGATCATTGTTGCTGTGTAAGTCCAGTTTTATCTTTTTTGGTTGTGGCTCCAGTTGGAACGAGGAGATAGACATTGCAGAGAAAGTTTTATTTAATTTAACTAATTTACTCTGACACTCAATAACTGGAGAAACTGAAGAGAAGTCATGACCCATTACCAGGGATAAGCTAACATCATTCAATGACCTGTAAAACCCATATAAAATTACTGGATTTCAAGTTCACATTTTACACTCAGGCAAATAGAATCAAAACTCTGCAAAAATGTGTACTGACATTTAGTGCTTTAAAATCTTGGCAATTCAAGATTTTATGTTGTCCTCCATTACCAAATAAACAAATGAATGGATCAAAAAATCTTTATCATACTTTCAGACTAATTCACCGGATAGTGCAAAGATGTCTGGTAAGCATTTTGAAGATATATTTTAGCACATACTTTACAAAACACAATATGCACGGTGTTAGATTCCAAAAACACAGGCTGGGGTTTTCAGAGGAGCCTATAGGAGCTAGGTATCCAATTCCCATTAAAAATTAATAGGGTCTGTGTGCTTAACACAGATATGACTGGGATTTTCAGTGACAAGTTTCTGAATATAAACTATTAACATTTAAATTTAAATTCTATTTTTATAGAGGATATATACTTATAATACAGTACAAGGATACCTAAAATAATTCAACTACTTGATTAGCTCATGGATATCTACTTAACATCCCTAATTTAAATCATGTGGGACTGCCAATTTTTTATTTGACTTAACACCAAACTAACAATTTATTTCAGAAAATGAATTAAAGTATATGATGGATGTCACACGGCCTGATGTTACAAATGTTATGGTGAATAGAACGTCTGATATTTTCTTCTGATTTTTTTCTCTTAAAAATGACATGAACTCTTGCTAAGAATGGAAATAAAAATAAAACATTTTCATATTTATTGAAGGAACTATGCTAAGGCAGGGGTAAAGGTAAAGTGAAAAATAAACCTAAGGGTGAAACTTATAGCACTGATGTAACCTTATTGCACATAGTGTATTATGTTAAGTTTTCTTGATTCTTATGTAGTGTATGTAACCCTCAAGGAGATTACTTGGATTCCCGGGGCCTTGTCTGCTGGCAGCTCAGGGAGAGGCACTCTGAGTTTGCCTTGGCTTCCCCTCCCTACCAGGGATAGTGTATTATGTTAAGTTTTCTTGATTCTTATGTAGTGTATGTAACCCTCAAGGAGATTACTTGGATTCCCGGGGCCTTGTCTGCTGGCAGCTCAGGGAGAGGCACTCTGAGTTTGCCTTGGCTTCCCCTCCCTACCAAGCCTCTAGGGACCTGAAGGCAGGATCCCTCAGCTGGGTTTGTGTCTCCACTGTTGATTCCCAGTTGTGGAGTTTGCTGGGAGGCTTACCCAGCCAGGCTGAGTTGGCTCTCCAGCTCCCTGGGTGAGACGAGTCACTGCATGGTCAGCTCGGCTCTAGCAGCAAGTTCAGGGCTGCTGCCTGCTGTGTGGGTCTGAATGCTGGGCTGGGAGGCTATAGTTTTGAATTTTGGTGCAGTTGTGTGGTCTGCATCTTGAGCCCTGCACCCCTTCGCGGTGAGGGGAAATTCTGGGACCGAAGCAGCCTGGTTCCTGCTTGAAGAGGATCCCTGTGAGAAGAGAGCAGCCCCTCTGCAGTGACTGAGTCATCTCTCAACCTGAGGCTCATTCATGGAATGTGTGAGTGCACCAATTTTTAGTTAGTAAGTCAGGGAATTTGGGGATTTTATTACCTGCAGCATATTAAACCTGTGGAGGGATT